ACTCAACAATCGGCCATGTGCGTATGAAAACAAAGGCACTGCGCATGCGCGTTTTACTCATATTCTATCGCGATATTTCATTTTCCTATCGTTGCCTAACATTATACCGGTATTACCGTGAACGGTATAATATGGCCCAGCCCTATTGTATAGTCCTATATCTCTGATATTAGAAAAAATTAAAATGAGTTAAAATACACCTTTATTTCGATAGAGTTCAGATGGAGGCCTTGCATGACTAATGAGTAGATCTCCTCCAAAAAAAATAACAGACTTCTAATTCACTCAACCCGCTTTCTAATAAAGAGGAAGCACTAATGTAACTCACCTCCTCAGTCGAGGTGCAGGGGTTACATGTTAGGTCTCCTTTTCCTTCCCCCCCTCTCTTACATTCAAACCCTCTCTTAGTTCACACTAGAACAGGCCGCCACAACATCATTTGGTTTAATATGAGTGGAACAACTAAACCGCACAGACTTTATTTGATCAGTTAGTTGAACCTTTTATTAATATGTGCAAAGAGCTGCAAACTAATATTTAAACATTGCAAACAATAAATACACAATCCAAAATAAAAAAACCTCTGCAAATGAAGTGGAAATGTTTGCTCTGGCAGCGCTTCGCATCAACATGTATATGAGGTACATTGCACTTTTGAGACTTGATCTGTGCATAGGTGCATCTTTGATGTGCAGCTCAGAGATCCACAATCCAGCACGTTTCTGTTTCTCTGACCGTCAGGTTGGCTGACCCGAGGTCACGTCTATATGTAACAGACAGTTGCTACCTCTCCTTCCACGCATTTCATACGACACAGCAGGCAGACTGCTGGTTGGTTGACCAGAGTTTTTCAATGCCTTTCTGCATTAACACATCTCGAGACGCGTAGGCGCCAAAAAGTGAATCCGAAGCCGAATAGCAGCTGCAGCACGGCACACAGAGCAAATATTTTCATGGGGTAGTATCAGAAATAAGACCTTTGAATATGTAGTCCCTTTAACTTCTTTCCTTCTATTAAACCATTCATTCATTCTTTTTCCTTACGTCCTTCTAACCTTTTCACTGTGTTTTCTTTGCATCTTTACAACAAGAGTCTAAAGTTAATAGCAGTAAATGTCAAGGCTTTCTGATTCTCAGTGAGATAGAGCGAGCTAGAGGAGCAGAGAGGGATGAGTTAAATGAGGGTTAACTACCACACTCATCCCAGAACAGACCGCATGTACAAATCAAGTACTCTCCTTAGTTTGTTTTCATCCTCCTAGTCCTCCTCCTCATCTCCTTGTAACCCTGTTAGTTAGTGAGTCAGTATTTTACTGACTCACTAACTGACACTGGCACTATCGGGGGTTTAGAGGCGGCGTATGTACACAGATTGAGGAGGATCTAAGTATGACGTGGATGACAGAGGAAATCGGGCGTGGCCCTCCTGTCAAAGTTCATTCCCACTTTGAGTTTTTGTTTCAGAGACGGTTCAGCCTGATGCAAATTCACTGCGAGAAGAAAAATACCCTATAAATCTATTAGCAGCTATAGTTTAGGTAGCAGAGCGTAAACTAACACGTCACTTGGAGATATCTGTAGATTTTTTCGTCATGGTTTCAAATGTAAGCTGGCTGATTTGGTTCATTTTTGTTTTTTGTTCTAAACTGAGCAAACCTGGTCTTCTCCTGAGGACTGCTGCAGGTATAATGCGAGCATGTTAATTTAATAAAAAACCAACAGCAAAAAAACCCCAAAATAGAATGAAACTCATTTCAGGAGACAAATAAAACCGATAGAGACATTTTCTTTTGTACAGATGATTGGCAAACGGAAAGTTTCTAAAGAGTTGTGCACACACAAGTAGACAACTACAACATGCTACTGAGTTTGGGAATGACAACCAAGCGGAACAAAATTAGACCCAAACATTGTCATCGAAACGAAAACACAAAAAGCTGAGGGGAGGCAAAAGTTCTGTGGAACTTAAACGTTTGAGTCGCATGAAAAGAGACTTAAGCCACAAGTCTACTTACAAGAGAAAACCATCAAGAATCACAATGATTAATACGTTTTAACACTTGGTATTTTCTGTATTTTCAAAGGCTTTTCAGAAAGGATGGAAGCGGTGGTTTTCCCGCGTACCGCTCCGCCCGATCAGTTCTTCGTCAGGCCGCCGCGCCGCCTCGCCAGCTTAGATCTGCAGGGAGAGTTTTACGTCTATCCTGCCTCCGACGTTTTTCTCACCTTGGTGGCCAGCTCCATCTCACGATCCACCAGCTCTCGATGTCAGCGGAATCGTAGCCGCTGCTCTCGCTCGGCCTGATGGCGCTTTCAAAGGTGGTGCTTGAGATCTGCAAGGAGATGGAGGTGGACGTGGACAGAGTGCCCGAGCTCACGCTGGGGGACAGAGACTCGCTCAGGGACTTGGTGGTGGGAGCTGTTCCCACGGGAGCCGCCTCTCCCAGCTTCTCTCTCAGCGCCAGAAGGTGACGGGTCTTTTCATCCACCTGGACGAAAGATGGGGACGAATGTGAGGTGGGGAGAAGAGGGGAGGGTTAGTCATGTAAAGTCTGTACTCTAAAAAACCCTTTTTAGAATAGCACTTTGGTCTTTGAGTTGAAAAGTCTTTTTTCCCTCTACGATATTAAACAGAGATTCATTTCTTTATAAATCTTTTAAGGCCCCACCTCCTGCAGCTGCTCCATCTTCTCTAGCTCCCACTGGTGCTCTAGGATGAGGCTATCTAAGGAAAGAAGGAAACTTTGTAACAGGGCAGATATCTTTGATTGTGAAACAGAGATGGCCACAGTGCAGCAGCCCAGATTTACCAGTCAGGAGTTTTGGAGTATTCAGTCCCAAAGAGGTTCTTGAGAGAACGGGGTGGGGACAACTTGGCGTCTCGGGAGTAAAAGACCATGCAGATGTCTTTGGTGATAATGGCAGGCTGGATGCAATAGTCCAGCTGTAAAGAGGAGATAAAGGGTGTGTGTTAGACAGGATGACATCAAGAGACTTAAAAACACGTAAAAAAAAAAACAGGTACAACACGGCGGAGCAGCGGCTGACCTCCAGATATGCAGATAAGGTCATGTAGATCTTCTCTCCATAGGGAGTTACGCAGTTGAGCAGGAGGGAGTTGTGCAGGGAGCTGTCCCACACTGCCTCAAAGCGATAGAAAGTGCTGAAAAAGACAGAAAGAGGAAAAGTTAGTTTGACAGCATTATTTTTTATGATGTCCTACTTGGTGCTAACATTACAGGGTCTCTGTTTACAGCAGTGTGTCATGTTAAAAAAAGTGAGTGACGTGAGCACAGTTCTGACATATCAAGAAGTGAACACAGTGACTGAAGCGGTGTTCACATTCATCCTTTAATCGTGACAAAACGTGAGGAATTGCACTGAGGTGAGACCTTGACAACAGACAAATCAGGAGCCACAGAGTGTCAAGTATCAGCCGACACGTGAAAAAGCATTTTAAGGATCTGGATCTAGATTAATACACCACATCATCATTATACCTGTGATTCAGCAGCTGATGGAACCAACTTTAGCAGCAAAAACTCGAGGTAATCATTTGTTATTAGTGTTTCACAGCAGTGTGGACGGATTTCTGGCCCATTTGTCTTTACAATGTTTCTTCGGTTCATTAAAGTTTGCAGATATTTATTCATTCACAGCTTTCTTAACGTTCAATCATGTTGAAGTCTCAACTTTGAGCCACTGCAGCACCACTCTGTTGTTGCTTTGCTGCTGCGCTCTGGACTCACTGACCCAACGATGATCTCTTTGACTCTAGAGTACTTCATGGCTCACTCAGTGACCTGGACACTTTGCAGGTTCTTTGGCAGCAAAAAAGCTCAAATAATCATCACCCGAGCAAAACCGTTGGTATGAGGTGTTTGTGCTGATATGCCGTGTTTGGTTTTCACCAATGTTGAAGCTGTGCATTAGGGCTTAGGTTTTCAACTTTGCAAACCTAACCCATGCTGCCATGTTGTATTTAGAAGGAAAATGGTTTCTCCTGGAAGTCTTTCCAAACAGGCCATATTTGTTGAGTCTGTTTCTAATTGCACTGCCATGAACTCCAACATTTAGCATGCTAACTGTGGCCTGTAGAGCCTCAGATGTGTGGGGTGAATTTTCTGGGACGTCCACTCCTGGTAAGATTGGAAACAGTCTTTGAATTTTTTAACTTGCGAATAATCTTTCTTGCTGTAAAATGATGGACTTCAAAGCCTTCCCACATTCGTGGGTATCAACAACTGCTTCTCTAATCCTCAGTATGTTACCACTTACCTGAATACGCCACACCAGCAAACTGACAGTAGTGGGCACTATCAGGCACAGACTGAGAGCCAGATATGCTCTGCTGGTGCCTCATTGGCCTCATTGTTACTGAGGTAAGACTTTATAGTGAGAAACAGCTGAGGGGGAAAACATTGATCTGGAAACATCTGAGTGTTACAGAGGATATATGGTTCAGTGTCACACAATCACAAACAAATACAGAAAAGTACTAAAAAGGGTGTTGCCTCCAAAGATCGCTTTTACTGGTTTGGAGCTTAGGAGGCTTAATATCGACCGGCATGAATGAAGACAGATCAGAACAGCTGTTTTATCACAGCATCCAGTACCAACACAACCATCCACACTCAAGAGCCCTGTTGGCTTCAGAGTCAGCAGCTGAATGTCTAAAATATCAAATGTAATTTTTTGGTCCATCAGCTACAGCTACAGCATGAACTGCTTACAGTGAGAAGCAGCCTAAAGCCCGACAAATTCATCTTTCCAGACTGAAAATATCTCAGAGTGGGGAGGAAGGGGAAGTGAGAGAGCTGGTCAGCCTCGTCCTCCAGACTGGCCACAGCAGAGGACGCCAGGGAGTTGGCGTGCTCGGACAGCGTGTCCAACACTTTGCCGTTCACATAGCCGCTCATGAGGTAGCGGGTCAACTCTATCTTACGGGTATAGTCTGGATGTGCGATATTGATGAACGGTGAGAGAGATTGAAGGGGAGAAGAAGAGAAAGGAGGACAGAGTTGGGTGAGAGGATTATATAAATTGTGAGGAATGATTGAATAAGAGACAAAAAAAAAAAACAATCCAAAGGAGACGAGAAATGACAAGGGAAAAAAAGTGGAAGGACACATGAGGCAGCTTATGTAACAAAAAATCAACATAAAATTATTGATGGCAAAGAACACATGGAAGTGACATGGAAACACTCGCCTGGTTTGGACAGAGGCATGGGAATAGGATAGTACTTCCTGGATGCTGTTGGAAGACTGTTGACATAATAAAAAATACCTTTTATTTATATATGCATATAAAATTAGCCAATGTGATTAGAATACAATCATTTACACATTTCTAACAAAATCTGCTGCATTAAATATGAATTATCACTGCATGAAGGGATCTGCTGTTTGACCCCCACCAACTTGGTCCCGTCCTGATATTCTAACTCTGTAATATGCAACTTCTGTCAGTGTCCTGATACTGGACACTGAATTTCCCGGAGGAACCACCCGAGGGATTAATAAAGTTCTATCTAATCTACATCGACAACAGAAAAAGAAAATCTGCTGCTTGCAACAGCATTGTGTTAGAAGCATTTTTACTGGAGTGAATGCATTTAACTGTACTTGCATCATCTCTTAAAAGTACTTATATATTGCAATAAGACTGCAAAAAGCAAAGGGGACTGAGTTCTATAGTATGTGGTATGTGTATAAGGTGACACATGTATGCAGTTTCCTGCCATTAGTGTAATGTAAACTTGGAATCATCACATATCTACAGGTATTTGTACTGAATGGAATGAACTGTGGTGATTAAAAGCATTAGCAAAAGAATACTTACTAGTGGCCTTTTCTTCTTAGGTCTGGATCTTGATGCCTCTGGGACTGATGATCACGCCAAGTCACCAGTTTCATAAACAATAAACAAACAAAAAGCAAATAAACAAAAAACTTTCAGAGATCGCACAACTTTTGTTTCCATCTTCATATGATAATGTTCCTTGAATCGAATCTACCATACACTACGATACACACTCTAGTGTATCAAACTATTCTAAATACTTCCACAAACAATGACATACCCATCTTTGTCTTTTTGTGGCTTTCACCAAAAACTCTCCCCCTGATGGATCCTGTGTTGACGTACGTGATTTTGGGAGAAAAACAAAAACAAAATCATTTTAAATGGTTACATTAAATGTAATAATATCAACATTCAATAGATTTGACTGTACATGTATCAGCTGGTGTAAAATACATGTTCCTTGATCCTTGGTCAGGGAACATAAATATCTGTTGTTTCAGCCATCGGGTACTCCTCTAAAATTCAGCCTGGACTCCAAATATAAAGCATACAATACATACAAACATACAAATCACCTTTGCTGGTCTTGTTGCCTGCGTGCTCCACTTGCCCCTCTGAAGTGCTCAGTGGGTCATCCTGTCCCTTGTTGAGCTCAATCTTCTCCATCACGTTCCTCACTTCCTCCACCTGCGTGGTCCTCACCTCCCGTGCCTCCATAATCGTTGCCTCCTCCTGGTTGTTGATCATTCAAGTTAGTTTAAACAATGGGTCAAACTTTTAACTTTATCCTGCTTTACGCCTCCTGGTTTGTAGCAGACTAAGTATATATGACGTATGAAAGGGAACAGAGTGGAGTTAGAGTGTGAGGGTGAAGGAGAAGATGTTGTGATTCAGTGATGATGATGATGATGACCAAACGTCAGTCTGCTGGAAGTGCAAAATGCTACAGACCCCTGACTCCACCAAAACATCGGGCTTAAGACTACATACCTTTTCTTCAAGGCCCGTGTACAATGTGCTCTTTAACCTCTATAAACTTCAGATCCAAGTGTAGACACAGATGCCACACTGACAGACTGAAAAGAATTACAAAAGCTTTTGGTAAAACGTCTCATGATGACTATCTAAATTGCATGTGACTACTCCTCT